AACTGCTTAAGGGAATGTAATTATAGTACTTTCTCCTCTTCAATGGGTATATCAAAGAATGATTTTGGCTTTGGGTTTATCCCTAGTTTATTTGGTATAAAGCAAGCCATTTTTTTAAATATGCAAATCCGTCTAAACTTTTCCCATCTCATAAATTTATGTTTTTCCTTTTTCTTTTTGATAAATTAATTCAAAATATTGATTAAAACATATATTGATTATTTTTTAATTTTTTAATTTTGTTTTATATTTATTTTTGGTTTATATTTTAAATTAATTTTTTTTTATTTATATTTTTCATGTTTGTCATTTTGATTTTTAAAAAAGGTCTTATGTTTATTTTTCGTTTTTTAATGGGTTTTTTCTTGATTTCAATTTTTTTTAATTTCGTAGTTTTTTTTTAATACAAAATTTTTTTGTTTAATTATTTTTTATTAATTTTTTTTATATTTCGATTAAAAAAATTAACTCTTTTTTTTATATTTAAAAAAAATAAGCCAGCAGGTTTATCAAAGTGGAGTCTATTATACACGGATTTGGACTAATTGTAGTGAATTTCAATAAATTTATAGTGGATTTCAAAAAAAAAATTGTGGATTTCAACAAATTTACTATAGTGGTTTTCGATAAATTTATTGTGGATTTCAATAAATTTACTATAGTGGTTTTCGATAAATTTATTGTGGATTTCAATAAATTTACTATAGTGGATTTCGACAAATTTATAGTGGATTTCAACAAATTTATAGTGGATCGGATTTCGATAAGTTTATAGTGGATTTCAGCAAGTTCGTAGTTGGTTTCGATAAATTTGTAGTGGTTTTCAACAAATTTATAGTGGATTTCGACTAGTTAGTAGTAGGTTTGCATAAATTTATAGTGATTTTCAACAAACTTATTGCAAATTTCGATAAGTGTATAATGGTTTCCACTTTGATAATCCTGGATTTTTTAAAATATTAAAATAATTAATTTTTTTAATCGAAATAATAAATAATTGATCAAAACATTTTTTTTGTTCAAAAAAACTGGGTAAAAAAATATAAAAAAACCATTTAAAAAATCAAAATTAAGAAAAGAAGCATTAAAAATGAAAATAAAAATTAAATTATTTAAAAAAAATCAAAATGAAAAACATTAAAATAATAAATTAAGAAAAAAACAATTTAAAATAAAAGGTCGAAAATAAAAATAAAACAAAATTAAAAAATAAATAAATAACCAATTTTTATTTAAATTGAAATAAAGAAAATCATTAAAATAATAAAAATGAAAAGGAAAAATAGGGGCTTCTAGCCAAACAATTATGGAGGTTATGGAGGAAAATGTGGGATGGTTCAAGAAAATGATGAAGGCCATGGCTGCAGCGCTTCAGTGCAGGACCGATGACATTGTCGAGCCACGGCAGTTCCCACCACGGCCTCGATATGACGGAGCATCAACCTCCGCTGCCGACGAACCAGCACAAGCGGCAGCCACTACACTGGTGGCGCAGGCCTGGGAGGAGCACGAGCGGGGACGACAGGAAGAGGAGGGAGGAGCCAACGAGGACGATCAAGACAACTAGGGGACGTTGTGTTTTTTATCCCTTTTATTTTTTTTTATTCTGCTTTTGAGCATAGGGACTATGCTAGAATTTAAGTTTCAGGGTGATTGGTGTGTGTTGAACCTGTTTGTTTTTTTTTTTGTTCGTTTGTTTTGGGATAAGTCGTTGGATTGATATTTCGTTTACGATGTA